AAGAAGAAGAAGAAGATGATGATGATGATGATGATGATGATGATGATGATGAAGATGATGGTGGTGGAGGAGGAGGAGAAGGAGGATCCTCCAAAGCATAAGCTAAAAATGTACATTTTCCTCTGTCTATTTTGCAAACATTTTAACTCCGTTTTACACACAGAATATTTCACATATGGTGATAGGCACAGAGGGTTAATTGAGGTGGATAAAATCATGCATGCATGGAGAAAATAGACAATACATTTTTTCTCCCTCTCTGAAAACACTAGGAGCAAAGGTCATCATTTGAATCTGACTGGAGATTTAGAAAAGGTAAAAGAAAATTCTTCACCATCCAGCAAATCTTTGGAATTCATTGAACAAGACATGGTCACATCCACCAGCTTGGATAGCTTTAAAAGGGATTGGATTGGGTGGGCAGCACTCAAATGGCAGATACAGGGGAACAATAGTAGGATAGGGGTATGTCTTCATCTCCAGCCTAAAGACACCCAGTTGGCCACGGTGAGAAACCAAATACTAGACAAAGGTGAGCCTTGGGCAGATCCATCAGTGCTTTTCTTATGTTTTTATGAGAATTTTTTTGCCTCCAAATGCTCTGAAATAGGGCTGCAACCCCAGTATATTCACTGTGGAATATCCTGAAAAATAAAATGCAAGTAATATATGTCCAAGTTCTTCCCCACAGATCCAAAATGTCTTCAGATTGTTCTCAGGACTCCAACCAGGACAGAGCAACTATTAGCCATAAAAAAATGAAAGCATTCTAAGGAAAGATCAGATGTCAGGGAACTAGTATTATTTGCTTTAATTGCTTATTGAATTGTACCCCCTGACGTTGTCTCTCTGAGCTCAGTGAGTTCTGTGTCTGGGAGGAAAAGCTTGTTTCCTAATATTATTCCACTAACAATATGGTAAATCTGAGTTGAGAGAGAGTGATTGGCCCTAAGATACCCAGTGGGGTTTTCAGACTAGAGATCTGAATCTTAGTTTCTCCTATCAAACCCAACACACAACGGTGGTTCACCAGTATGGTGCAAACTTGATCAGGAATCCAAACACTCATCTATACATAGATACACTCTCTCTCTTTCTATACACAAGGCTGCTATACATACATATGTATTCATGCTCTATGTTTCTCTGAGCTTCTTGTCAGCTGCATAGATTAAGAAGGATGTGCACCCATGTCTGGAAAGCAGAAACTACTTACAGGCAATGCGAACTGAAGCCTTCCTGCTTTTTGAAGTTCCTAGGAGGCTCCAAGCCACACACTGGCACCAGTAGTCCTCTGGCCCATGAAAATCCTCCACTTGCTGCCTTGTCACATTGATGTATGCTTCTCGAATCATCAAGCCTGAACGAGAAAGATACAGGAAAATTAGCTGATATAGAATGTCTTATTCAGACATAATGCTAAGGTTAGCCAAACCTTTTCTTTTTAATTAAACAATTCCATTTTTAATCAAGGCAAAGCTTTAATGACTTTGACAATAATATATGGCTGTTAATTAAATCCTCACAGCCAAGTAGGTCAGGATGCATGAGCTGAAAGCATGCGCCTGCCAAAAGGGGATTCAGAACCACACAATATCTACCTTTAAAATCTTCTGCTGGCATTTCCATTCTACAAAAATGCCGGTCTGTTCAGCTTAAAATAAGACCCAAAAAAGTCACATAATACCTAGTCATCTAATGTATTGCAACTGTAATTTTATGCATTTATGCATATGCAAAAGCATATTTCCCTCACTGAAATCATTGGAATTTGCTTCTAAGTGAATGAGGAGCATAAGGTTGAGCTGATTTCAGATTACATGTTTCAGACACAACAGAATAACAAGGAAAGAACTGACTGAGCTGGGTATAATTAAGAACTACATGAGGAGCACTAGTTCAGTGGTTCAAGGATACAAAAGAGGCTATCATAGTTATTACAAAAGCATGGTTGCGATCTTTCATATTAACTGTTTGGTTTGTTTAATGGATGCTCCATCTCTCTACTTAAATGTTCAAGGGGACATCTAAAAGCTAATGACAGCAATAAACAATTGAACAAAACAGTGGTAATAAAAATAACGGATCAAGAACAAAGGCAAACAGCATAGGAACAATGAAAAAAAGGTAGGCCTTGAAAGGTAGCTACAGTTTGCCTTGGCAAGGTGAGAGTGTGAGGAAGACAGAACGGTTCTCCTTGCAAAGGGGTTTGCATTGCTCAGCTGCATACAATGCTTCATGAATGAACTTTGAAACACCACTTCAAAGCCCTAAAATAACAATGTAGATATGTCCATGTGTTGTGTATCAGAATTATGTTTTCAAAAACAAAGAGAATGCCACTTCACACTCAAAAATACATCCAACCTCTGTATTCCTAAGGTTAAAGAGAGCAAACAAGACAGAAGGCTCTGGGAAACAGGGTCTAAAGTCCAAGCAATTCCACATAGAATGCAGATACCATTACCTACTTCAGTTGTACTGCTAGTTCTGAGGTTTTCCTTAGACTCTTCCTTAGATATTAAGGACGGTCAAACCAGTTATTAAAGTATAACTCCCCGCAGCCCCAGCAAACACCAGTGATGAGTAGCAGTCATAGTATCAAAATGATGTTGCACCATAATTTCACCATGCATATAATGTAAATTACCCACATGGTCATTTTGTGTCAGATGCAAATAACATCCTTTGCATAAGATCACGATGCATGCTATGTCACTAGCTCCCCCTCTCTGTCCTCCACAAGGCCCATGACCACCATTACGGCTAATGTGTGATTTTATTTTATTTGTCTGTTTGTTTTGGTGCCTTAGCATCAGTGTTGACTCCTGGTGACTGCCTGAACAAGTCCCTGCAGTTTTCTTGGCATGATTTCAGAAGTGGTTTGCCCTTGCCTGCTTCCTAGGGCTGAGAGAGAGGGACTGGCCCAAGGCCACCCAGCTGGCTACATGTCTAAGGCGGGACTAGGACTTATGGTCTCCTGGTTTCTAGCCTGGTGCCTTAACCATTACACCAAACTGGCTCTCATGTGATATATGATCTACATGTACATCATCTATATCTATACCTATGATATATGTATATCTTAGTTAATTTCAGCAATATTGGAAAGACCACAAGTCTGAGTTTAGTCCCCAATCATCATCCTTGTCCTTCTCTGAAGCTGAGATGAGATTTCACTAATGTGAAATAGAACTGAATCTATTCGGTTGCTTGTGGTGGTATCAGGGTGAAATCCCATCACAGCACCTCTAAACAGCATTGGCTCCCTGCATGTCTGCATCCTGTTCAGACAACACAGACAATGAATGAAGCTCTTGTGGTCTATTTATTGATTCCTGCCTTGGAGCATTATGTGCTGCTGAAACTACTTCTAGATTGTATTTTTTAAATGTGACACCAGTGAAGACTTTGGCAGACTCTTTGTCCCTGATGCCCAGGGTATAATGCATACTCCTAAACGTTAAGATGTTGTGAAATACAGAGCTACCCCTTCACATGTTAATGAGCACACTCTGAATTGCTGATAATAAAGTGTACAGCAGTTATATGGTTCTGCCCACACCCTGTATATAATTTTAACCTAAAGAAACCTTTTTTGGGGGGGGGGCGGGCTTGGAAACCAATACAGGACCAGATATTGCTGAGTGAATTAACAGCACATACAACAGATGGAATAGAGCTTTTTCAGCAAAAGTGCAGCAGGGGGCTATCTGGTTGGTAATTATTAACAGGAGAGACATAAAGGGGTTACAGGTATGCCCCTATTTCCTCTCTGAAATGTTGAAGGGTATGCAAATTCTAAATGTTTCTAAATGAATATTACTGAAAATTAATTGGTACAATTAAACCTGTTAGAAAGAGGCAAAGCACTTTGTAACACGGTACAGATACTTTGCAAAACAACTAGCCTGCATCTTATAAGATAACTTTCCAATGAGTTTCATGTTCGTTGGTTAAGCCCAGGTCTCCAACATTTCTATGGCTTGGGGGAACCACTAACATTTGATGAAGGTGTAGGCAACTTTGTAGGGAGCCAGAGCGATGTTGCTTTTGCTCAGTATAAGCTCTCTGACTGAAAGCAGAGCTTGCAGAAGGTGCAAAAATCAAGCTTGTGTAAAACAGAGGAGGCGTTGCTTTACAAGAATGCTGAAAGATAAATAAGCAAACCTGATCAAAACCTCAGGTTCAGGAATGCTTGCCACTTTGCAAATGTCAATCCTGTGGACACTTCTGCAAAATCCACATTCAAATGTTCCATCACTGCTAGGTAATACCTTTCTAAATATTTGGCAAAAGGCATTCAAAATCTCTATAAAAGTAATTCTCCAGGGGATGGATGCCAAGGCTGGAGATGTAATGACTGACTTCATACATCGCACTAAACTATGTTTATTTGGTGGTGACATTCTGATTTTGGCTTTGCATCTGATACAAGATCAGACACTGTGGTTTCTAAACTATCATTTATGTCTTAACAAAGATGCAACCCCTGTTAACTCTACCAACCATGACTCACTCCTGATGGAAGAAATATGGCTTACTGTATTATGTGAACCAAGCCAACACTTGTTTTTGATGAGTTGAGATAATTCTATTTGAACCATTACTGTATGGAGTACCCACTTACACTTTTATCCCCAGACCCAGCCCACAGTTCTTTGTATGGAGAGCAAAGAACAAGATGGTACAGTTCATCTACAAATGCCTTCAAGAAATAATGAGGTTGGAGAGGCATCTTCCATCACATCTGAAGAAAGCAGGCTAGATGCGGAAGCACAGGGAAAACCGTATAGGCAATGGTTGTCTTTTGCTGCTTCTTCTCTGCATTTATTGCCTGAAATGTTGCCCTTCTTTATCCAATGGAAGGCCTGGCCCTTTCTGTCTCATTCCTGTCTCTCATCAGTTGCATATTCAAATGGTGCTTCAACAACCCAATTCAGTTTGATTAAAGTCAAAAACAGGTCAACAGAAACCAGTGTGTATACCTTAGACAGCAATTATTTATTCTAATAACCGATCACAGTTCAGTTTCACTTTATTTTGTTTTGAGACAACAATTTTTCATGAGCCTTAGTTGTCATCTGTATAGAATGGGAATAATGGGCCACTTTAGAGGCAGTGAAAACAGATGGAAAAAGTTGTGCTACTGTATGAAACAAAGAGTAAGAGTTTGGATTCTGCTTTCTCCTCTAACAGGACTTTCCTTGTATTTTCCCAGTCCACTGCCCTTTCCAGTACATAAAAACTCAACTACCATAATCCTTCAAGCAGCATGAACAACAACCATATGGTCATGGGTAATGGCATAAAAGTACTTATATGTCAAAGAGTTTGAAGTGAAGTCCAACATCTATAAGGCACCTTATCAGGGATGGCTGCTGTATTGCTAGTCTGGGCGGGTCATCATGATAGAATGCCTGTTATTAGAAGAGTTGTCATTCCCAAATGGATGACCCCAAAGAGCACAGCACCCTCCGTAATGAGTTCCAATGATGTCATCATGAAAATGCTGTGATTATGTCCCTGAGTTACAACATGCATAAGTTGAGTGATGACATCATCACACACATGTCATCAATTGCCCCCTGCCTCCTCCTTGCAGATGCTTATAAAAAGCATTGTGCCTTTGGGTTGTCACTTTCTGGAATTCAGGGACCACAGTATTGTTCATGAAAGAGAGGAAGAAAAAGAGAGAATCTGATGGGACAGGATATATTTGATTTAATAGTTGGTTTGATGCATACATGACAGAGATGGAAAGGGGGAAATCATACAGTGTTGGAAATTGAAAAGAGTATATTGGGTTCCTAGTTTTTAGGCATGCCAGGTTTATTATTATGGTTGGTTGCACAATCAGCCAGATGTTTAGACTGGATTTGGCATTTTTGTTCATCTATCGAGTCCTTCCCAAAGGCCTGGGATAGGCAGATGTTGTTTAATAATATTAAAGAGTGTTGTTGTTGTAATTATTATTATTTCAGATATAAGGGGTTATACCAAGGATGCACACTTAATTTTTTGGGCCACTGAGGACTCAAAATAGATGCATTAAGACTGCCTACTTTGAGTATTATTTCATTATACAAAATAAAACAAGAAACATGCATCAAAATTTGGTGGGATAATCTGAAGGGAAAATACAAAATTGTGTTGGGAAGACCACACATAGCTTATGAGATATGCAATGGTGCTTAAAGGTTTGTGAACCCTTTTCAATTTTCAACATTTCTGGGTCTCACAGAGAAGAGTGAATATTCTATCAACTCCTCACTACAGTGCCTCCAGAAAATCAAA